GCGTCGGATTTAAACGAACGTGAAGCTTGAATCTGAAAAATTCAAAGAGGTTGAGAAACACTTTTCATGAAGATGCTAACAACCCGGTTCTTGGCCATCAAAAATTTGCAGAGGGATCGCCGCTCAGCGGCGATGCTGCCTTGGCTTCGGCGAGAATATGTCTAACCCATGAAGAGGGATTGTCGCTTAGCGACGATGCTGCCTTGGCTATGGTGAGAATATTTCTAACCCCAAGAAGTAGAAGGGGAAACCTAGAGCAAGGGACAAAGACAATGTTGAAGCCAGAAGAGTCGCCACATTGGGCGAAGGAGCCAATTTTGGCGAGAAGGGCAGTCGGAAGAGTCGCCTCATCGGGCGAAGAAGCCAATTTTGGCAGGAAGGGCGGCGGCAACTTGGTTGGCGAATAGGCCAGTGCGGCACCCAGATTCCGAAGGTAAATCTCTGCAAAAGGTTGATAAGTTTAGGTTAGGGTTTATGTGAAGGATGAAGGTTGATTGGGAAGAAAATGAGAGAGACTATATTGGCCAAGGGAAAAACCGATTGGGTTGGAAAAGGTGAGGTTGTATGTACAAAGTATGACGAAAAGTGATTTGGAGGTCAATAGGGTGGAGCCGAAGAGTAATCAATCGGCTCCGACTACGGCAGCCATGAAGACTGCCCCTGCGGCGTCAAAACCAGCAGGGGTGGTGGAGAAAGAAGATTAAAGGATTCAAAAGCCATTGAAAAGAAAGAATCGGGGTTGTTAAACCAAGAGGACTTTGATACCATGTGAATGTTTGATTAATCCACCACACCTAAATGATGTGAAAGTTATCTTATTTATAATCAAATGAATTATAAGGATATGAAAATAGTAATAAATGAAAATAAAATAAATAGAAAGATACGATAATAAGGCAAATATCTAATATTTGTCTTATAATAAAATATCAAATATAATATATATGGTAAACAATAATTTATTACTAAATATCCTTAACACATACATTAATAACATTTCATTTTTCATATAATGGATAATATTAAATGGTAATTATAATAATTAAAATTATTATCAAATATTAAATAATTAATTAGGAGGCTTTATGACATAAATCCCAACCAATTAAATTATGGTCAGTTGTTATGTCTCTTCCAATTTTTGAAATACACGTGTTTAGATGAGATTTTTTTTACCCCTTTCCTACTTTAAATGAAGCTACAAATTTTTGGAGATTCATTTGAGAGCATAAAGTGACAAAAATACTACTCAATCGTTAAAATAAATTCTCGAGATAAGAATATTAAAATTCACAATCAACTTTATGGGTCTGATCAGCAAAATGACTCAAAAAGACCATAATAGTCCCTCAAAAGTTTGGTGGTAACTTCATAGATAATCCAATGAGATTTATGCTTAAAGTCGTGTAATTAATTATTTAATTTATTTTTAATAATAATTTTGATTATTCTGTTTACAATATAATATTATTTGTGGTGCGAAAAATGTAAAGTTATTAGTAATATTAAATATTATGTAGTTGGTATGATCATGTTCAAATAATAACGTACCAGATAATATAATGATAAGATTAAGTAGCTTCTCTGGTTAACACAATTGATCAACTCTAAGAATTAATTGATTAATATTTATTTATTATTTTTATAATAAATTTTGAAAGGTTGATTTATCATTTATTATTATTATATTTATAATAAATTTTAAAATTTTAATTTGTTTTTGCTCACTTTATTATTTATATTTATAATAAAGTTTAAAATTGTTGAAATTTGTCCACTAAATAGAGAATCCCCATCTGGTTTAGGGTAGGTTTTTAAGGTGCCCCAACTTCGTGGGGAATATAATTCTCATCTCTGGTCTTATGTTTTTAGTGTTAGATGAACACGACTCTCCACAATGGTATGATATTGTCCACTTTGAGCATAAGCTCTTATGGCTTTGCTTTGGGCTTCCCAAAAGGCCTCATACCAATGGAGTTAGTATTTCTCACTTATAAACTCATGGTCATTCTCTAAATTAGCCGATGTGAGACTTTCATCATCCAACACCTCCCCTCGAACAAAGCACGTCTCCCCTTAATCGAGGCTCGACTCATTTGGAGTCTTAGTCATTTTTTACTGCTTTCGTACCTTCGAGGAGGCTTGACTCTTTTTTTTCTTTTTGGAGTCCTTTGTTCGACATTCGAGGATTTGCCAATCTATTGGCACTGCTAAGTTTAGGGCATGACTCTAATACCATGTTAGGTTGAATGACTCGATTAAGGGGAGGCGTGCTTTGTTCGAGGGGAGGTGTTGGATGATGAAAGTCTCACATCGGCTAATTTAGAGAATGACCATGAGTTTATAAGTGAGAAATACTAACTCCATTGGTATGAGGCCTTTTGGGAAGCCCAAAGCAAAGCCATAAGAGCTTATGCTCAAAGTGGACAATATCATACCATTGTGGAGAGTCGTGTTCATCTAACACTAAAAACATAAGACCAGAGATGAGAATTATATTCCCCACGAAGTTGGGGCACCTTAAAAACCTACCCTAAACCAGATGGGGATTCTCTATTTAGTGGACAAATTTCAACAATTTTAAACTTTATTATAAATATAAATAATAAAGTGAGCAAAAACAAATTAAAATTTTAAAATTTATTATAAATATAATAATAATAAATGATAAATCAACCTTTCAAAATTTATTATAAAAATAATAAATAAATATTAATCAATTAATTCTTAGAGTTGATCAATTGTGTTAACCAGAGAAGCTACTTAATCTTATCATTATATTATCTGGTACGTTATTATTTGAACATGATCATACCAACTACATAATATTTAATATTACTAATAACTTTACATTTTTCGCACCACAAATAATATTATATTGTAAACAGAATAATCAAAATTATTATTAAAAATAAATTAAATAATTAATTACACGACTTTAAGCATAAATCTCATTGGATTATCTATGAAGTTACCACCAAACTTTTGAGGGACTATTATGGTCTTTTTGAGTCATTTTGCTGATCAGACCCATAAAGTTGATTGTGAATTTTAATATTCTTATCTCGAGAATTTATTTTAACGATTGAGTAGTATTTTTGTCACTTTATGCTCTCAAATGAATCTCCAAAAATTTGTAGCTTCATTTAAAGTAGGAAAGGGGTAAAAAAAATCTCATCTAAACACGTGTATTTCAAAAATTGGAAGAGACATAACAACTGACCATAATTTAATTGGTTGGGATTTATGTCATAAAGCCTCCTAATTAATTATTTAATATTTGATAATAATTTTAATTATTA